TGAAGTGAGCTGAGGGGGGCTGCACACCGAGGGGGCACCACCTCAGCAGGTTCTGGAGAAACTGGGGGGAAGCGGAGCTTTCCCGGGGAGCAAGGGGGGCTGGGACAGGACGACAATGTCCTCCTTTCTTTCTAAACATGAGAAGTTTGAGCTAGAAGCAGCAGCTGGATCTGGTTCACCACAGGAATCGGACACCCTGGAGAGAGCGGGGACTGGGAAATGTGTCCTGAGAAACAAGCGAGCCGGAGCCTGCGAAGGACTGCCTGCCTGTGGCGGCTGGTGTTTAACAAACAGGCCGCTGTCGGGGAGACCGCATCTGAGAGGACGATCCTGGGCAGGGGCAGAGCTCGGCCCTGGAGTTCAAGTCCTGGCCTCGAAGCCCAGCTCTGCCTCCAGGTGAGACGTGGGGAGGGTGTCCCAGCAGCCTCTGCCCACCAACAAGAAGCCAGACCTGACTTCTGAGGCCTGGGGCAGCCCTGAGCCCCCACGTGCCCATGAGCCCCAGCCCAGGACAATGACCAACTCTGTCCACCGCCAGAGCCCGGCCAGGCCCTGTTTCCCGTCCCCAGTCTGCTTTGGGGAGCCACCCCCCTCCCCTCCGCCTCATTCCCAGCCCATCGGCCTGGGTGGAGCTGACCCCACCTGCAGCTCCAGAGGTGGGCATGTGACTCCCCCTGGCCGATCAGAGCACAGCCCAGCTCCCTCTCTCCAGCCCACAGCCTGTGATGGGTCAGAGATTGGCCAATGGTCCAAGCCAGGCAAGTGAGCATCGAACTGGTCCCAGGACGTTTACTGAGAATCACCTCAACAGAAGAGCTTTGGGACCTACGCCTGGAGCTGCTCCTGGGCACGTCGGCCACATGAGGGAAGAGCCTGCCTGAAAAGGGAGCCAACTCGGAAGAAAGCAGGGCCGGGCGACGGAGAGATTCCTGGGGCCTGGGTCCAGCCGTGATAAGCAAATAGGTAAATGTCTTTGGACGCTTATCTCCCCCTCCCCGTCCCAGACTACACCCTGAACTGGCACAGCACCTGGGAGGACTGATGGACAAAGCCGGACCGCCTCTCCCCACCTGCTCCGAGCCTCGCAGTGTGTGCGCCCCATTCCTGCTCCTACCCCACATCCTGGCCCACGGCCAAGAAGGAACCACGCCTGAGAGACGGAAATCAGCATCACAGCTCCCGCGTGCCAGGAAGAGGAGCAGCAGCAGCAGAAGCCGACGTGGAGCTTCATATGTCTGGGCCTGCACCTGGCCGCCGAGGGAGGCCAGCCTGGGCCCAGGACACGGGGCATGGCTCAGCGTGGGCCTCGACACTCTGGCGGAGGGGTTACAG